TCTTCCTTCTGAGGAGTGGCTGGTGGATTTGAACCACCAGCCTTCTGGTTAGCAGTCAAGTGCCTTAGGCACTATGCTACCAGAGCTCCCTCAGTAGTATTAACTGTTCTTCTCGTAGGCATATGGATATTATCCTATCACTGACCGTGCTGGACTTCAGGATAGTTCTTGAAATGCTCTTTTTAACTATGGATGTGATGTTATTCCTCTTCAATTTGTCATTCCTGGCATAGTACACCATATGACTGTCTGATTGAAAATGGCCAATACTAGTCCATTCAGCTCACTAATGCCTAGCATATTGAACTTTATGCAACCCATTTCATTTTTTAACAACTTTCGATTTCCCTAGAATCATTTATATGTTCCATGTTCTGACCATTAATGGACGTCTGAAGCTGTTTCTTCTCATTTTGAGTCGTGCCTCATCAGCAAATGATGGTCCTGAAATCTCTATTCCATTCATGGCATTGAGAAGTCAACTCTACTTTGAGGAAGCAGTTCTTCCCTAGTCGTATTGTGAGTGCCTTGCAACTTGAGGGGCCCATCTCCCAGCACTGTATCAGACAGTGTTTTGCTGTTATTCATAGGGTTTTCAGCGACCATGTCCTTCTCCTAGTCTATCTCAGTCTGGAAGCTCCGCTGAAACCTGTCTACCACGGGTGACCTTGCTGGTATTTTAAATACAGGTGGTATAGCTCCCAGCATCACAGGACCTGTTATCCACCACAGTACGACAAACTGATGGACACGTCAGCTGCTGTTGTAGCAGCACCGGATAACGAAGATAAACAGGGAACTGGAACAGACCCAACAACAGAGATCTATGTATAGGATTAAATACACGAAATAAAGCTTCTTAACAACGTTGAGCAAAGAGAAGTTGACTAAAGATGTATATACTATGATGCCAGTTATATACACAACAAATACATGTAAAACAGTACACATATCGTTTATACTCAAACACATCTGATAAGAGTATTTTAAAATCCCTAAGAACGAAGAACCTGGAGTGGGGATAGAGAAATGGTATTGAGGAAGGACAGATGGGACTTCCACTAAACTCACCATGTTTCATTTCTACAAAGATATTTTTAGCAATAACATATGTAAATCTATAAAGGACTCTCACAAACATGAATTTGAGGAAACGAACCCAGACACAGAAGGGTATCTATTGTATTATTCTATTCTACTTCTATCAAGTTCAAATCCAGACAATACTAATCAATGGCAGAGATCAGGGCACTGGTTATATCCTTGGGGATGGGAGGGTGGTGGCTGGAACGAGGCTAGGGGCTTCAGGGTGAGGGTTGGTCACATTCTACCCCTTGTCCTGGGTGCCAGTTACATGGACTTTTGACCTTTGTGAGACCCTAGGCTGTCCACTTAGGACATCTGAACTTTTCTCTGTGTGTAACACAGGTCAATAAAAGGTTCAAGTACATTTTTTAAAAATCTGAAATAAACACGGCAACATAATGATGTTACGCATTTTTCTTAATAACTTTCTGATTATACAAATAAAGGAGGATTCAAATTATTTAATTAAAGCAAAGAGGATACCGTGAGAACTGTATTATAAAAAAATGTCTAATTTCTGTTCATCAGTCCTTTCACTGTAAAGCTGGCTAAGGCAGCACTGATCTACTGTTTGTCCAATCAATGAATTGACATTTTGCTTACTTTGGGAATTGTTAGTCTGAGGGACAGATGGCATACTAAAGAGAGCTACCAAGGGGTAAGAGAGAATGCCAAGGCATAGTGAAGGGCATACACAGCATAGAAGGGAGGTTTAGCCATTTTAAGTCAGAAACAAAAGACCACTCACCCTTACAATGATGCCCATACGTTTGCTTTCGTAGGTAAACGGGAAGATCTGCAAGATGGTGAAGTTCAGGATCTGGTCGCCAGGGGTCCTCAGCTGCATGGAAGACTGGTCTCGTCCCACCAGAGTTAAACCCACACTTTCTGTCCACTGTACCAGGGCCACCTAAATACAACACAGGGTCGAAGGTCAGACATGCAGCTGAGGGTCCCGGTTCACAGGTCACACAAATGAACACGAAGGCAGCCGGGGGAGCAGGGTCAGGTGAGGAGGAAGCAGTTACACCTGTCACTGTAACTGGCAGGCTTTGCACCACGGGCCTCAAAGCCATCACTGTTCCCCGGGCCTGTGACAATCCACTCTGCCAGGCCTCCTACATGCAAAGCCACCCCCCCCACAAGGTACGACCTACCTTTTCTTTCCAGTCCAAAGGCATGCGGTACCCCAGAGCTGTGGCAGCCCAAGGCAGTGCCAGAACAATACAGGATTAAGAACAGTTAAGCATTTGACTGCTAACTCCAAGGTTGGTGGTTCAAACCCACCCAGTGGCTCCCAGTGGGAGAAAGTCTATCTGCTTCCATTAGGATTACAGCCTATGTAAATCTTTCCAGAAGCAGTCTGCCTTATCTTTTCCCCCACAGAGTGCCTGGTGGGTTCAAACTGCTGACCTTTCAATTAGGAGGTGAGTGCTCAAGCACTTCCCCACCAGGGCACTTACTCTTTCCTGGGTGCTAAATCAAATCAAACAAGTGCCTGCACAGGCTATTTGAAAATTTGGCCCACTGTACTCCAGACATTTAATACACAAATGCTAGCAAGTGGTTTTTAAGGGTTTTGTGGGGAGGAAACTTATTTTTCTTTCTTTGATTTCATATTCATTGTTGATCTTTCATAATGGACCAAAGCTTTTTCAAAAAGGATTACAGCAAACGTTTCATTCTTTACAAAAGTTTCTGAAATGTCTTATTAGAGTATTATGTACTTCCCCAAAATTTTTTGAACTACTACACTTAGGAAGTACCACCAAATTATGTGGCATGTATTAATCGGTATTATAATCTCAGGAAAAAAAAAAAAAAAGATTATAGCCTAAGAAACCCTTAGGGCAGTTCTACTCTGTCTTGTAAGCCTGCTATGAGTCAGCCGGCTTGACAGCACCCAATGACAATACAACCACGGCTCAATTTTGGAAAAACGTGCTCCAAGCAAAACCACAAAGTGGAAGCATAAAAGGAGCGTAGCGCTGTTGGGGTGCTCCCCCTTTTGCTCCCCTTCCTGTGAGCCCCACAAGCACTCTACCAGGTGGGATCTACAGCGGTTCTCCACAGGGTGACTGTCCCCAGGAGACACATGGCAATACCAACAGACATTTGGGATTGTCACAACCGCGGGGTGGTGGCGCTACTGGCATCTAGCTGGTGAAGGCCAAGTATGCTGCAAAACGTCCTACAAGGCACTGGACCACCCCACCAACCAGCCTGATCTGGCCCCGATGTCAATACTGCTGAGGTTGAGAACCCCGGTCTGTACACAGGAGGAAACCGAGGCTCAGAGGCCTCGGCCGTCAGAATCCCGGCTGTCCTCTTGGCTGACCTGCTATACCCTGAAGGAAGAGCATCAAACTGGGGCTCCCGTCCCGGCTCTACCACCAACCCCCTGTCCCTCCCTGGGCCTCTGCAAAGTAAGGGGCTTGACGATGATGTCTCATTTCTGTTTTGACTCTAAAAGTGTGTTTTCATACATCTTCAAGTTGGCTATAAGGAGCTCTCGTGGTGTAGCAGTTAAGGCATTTGGCTGCTAACCCAAATAGGTGAGTGGTTCACAGGCTTACTGGTCTGATGGAGCCTGGTGAGGCCCCGAGATTATGGCCCCACCCCTGGTTAGCCTTCAGGCCTAGAATTAAACTCTTGTGGCTTCTAGCCAAACAAGACAGGCATATGGGGGAACATTTATACCAGATAGATACACTCCTTAGAATGATCAATTATAGGAGAACAGAAGGGCAGTGTTTGTACAAGGAGACAGCTCAGGGGGCAGGAATGCACAGGAAAGAAGGACACAGGGAACAGGTAACCACAGGGAGGAAGTGGGAAGAGAGCTCTTATATAATGGGGATTTATCATCAATGTCATGAAACAAAATGTGTATGAACTGCTGTATGGAAAATGAATTTGCTCTGTAAAATTTCACCCAAATCACAATGAAATTAAAATAAAAAAAAAAAAAAGCCAGTGGTTCGAACCCACCAGCGCCTCCATGGAAGAAAGATGAGGCAGTCTGCTTCCACAAAGATTTATTCCTTGGAAACTCAGTGGGGGGTTGCTATGAGTTGGAATCAACTCAGTGACAGTGACTTTGGCTTTTGGGTTTAGGTGGCTATAAGAAGATATCTAATTTGATTTCTGTTGCTGTTATTGGCAGAGTTTATATGAGCAAGAAGTTCTTTTTTCTTCCAAGAATGGGAAGCTCTGCCCTGTCTCGGAGCCCCTGATGGAGTAAATGGTTAATGCTTGGCTGCTAACCAAAAGGTTGGTGGTTCAAGTCTACCCAGAAGCCTCTGGGAATAAAGGGCTGACGATCCACTTCCAGAAAACTCGACCGTGACCGCTCCTTCAGCACAGCCCTACTCTGACAACATGGGGTCGTCAGGCGTCTGCCTCTACCTGAGACAACTACTGTGGCTCTTTTTAACCCTGTTTTAATTAACGGCATAACTAGTCAACCAGGATAATTTTAACTAGCTTTGTACTTGGACCAGTTGAAAGAAACCATTAGTTATACTGACCTCCAACTTCCAAAGAAAGAGCTAATCAAGTAATGCTTTTTTTTCTTTTTTGCTACTAGCCTGCGTAAGTCTTTGAAAACTTGTTCATTCATTTATTTGTTTAATTCAAGGACTATGACTTTCAATATGGTCCGTCTAGTCTGCTGACAATGTTTTCAGAAGTTTAAAATTAATGAATCAGTGAAGATAAGAATATGTAAGATATTCTTATATGTCTCCATAAGAAAGCTCGAGTGTGTGCTAAAAAGGTTTATAGAGACACACACGCAGGGAAACCTTCTAGCTCTTTCTTTTCGTTTTCTCGATTGCGAGAACATTTTTAGCGTGTGCATAAGTTTATTTTTAATTTTAATTAAACCTAATTCAAGATACACACATACCTAGGTGTAAGCAATCTCAAAAGGCTTGACTAAATGTCCACCCTTCTTTACACATCAATAGTAACAAAAGGAGAGAGAAATTCTTCTCTAGATGCTTTCAAACAACTGAAAAGACCATCTCACTACCGTGGTTAAGCAGCTGTCACTGTACTCTTTAATAACCTCTTTATTTGTCTTGAAATGTCTGCGATATTGGGCTTCAAAGGGACAGCCTAGAGAATGCCCCAAAAACATGTTCTGAACCTTAACAGAGAAAGAACCTGGGACTCCAGAACCGGAAGCCATGCCCAGGACTGGGGAGGCAGTCCTGGGGTTGGGGAGCCCACCCGGCCAAGACTGTAGCAAGAGACAAAGTTGAACAAGAAACCTTAAGTTATCAAAAGTGACAAATATTTCTGAGGAATGATGAATTGCAACTGTTGGTAAGCATTCTTTAATTGTGCTTTCTTCCGGGCAAACCTCTCCCTGGAGTTCAGGAACCTACTGCCTACTATCACTTACTGCCCTACCCCCACCAAGGTCCTAATCAAAACCTCAGCAGTCTCATTGGGGGTTATTCAAACAGGATATGAGCCCTGAGGGGGGCCTTTCATTCTCACCTCCCACTCTCCTCGTCAACTTTAACATATGTCCCTGTTAATTTAAAGCTACTTTCTGACAGAACCCATACCAATCCCCTGGGGTTCCTCCTAGTGAGAGGGGTGATGGCTTCAGAATTGAGGTGCTCACTGGCACTTCTCAATTTCAGCAGGGACAAACATTTGAGGGATGAGTGGACACAACTGCACCCCTTTCTAAAACAAGATGGTATAAAGAAGGTTGGTTTATTGTTTGGGCGGTAGGAGCCTCAGTTCCGAGGAATTGTTCTGTATCCTTAAATCATATAAAAGACTTTAGTGTCTGGAGTCTCCCCGCCTTGAACAGCCTGAGTTGGGGTCTCACGTCAGAACATTTAGTGGTCAGGGCAGCAGAATAAAAAAACCTCGTTAAGGTGGATGAATGAATGAATAC